GTGATATAAGCTTGAAAAAGTCCTTTTCTCTTAATTAACAGTCTTTTGTCTCTGACCAACACAGACATGAAACCTAAGTCAACTAAAATTAGTCCTCGTAGCATTGTGAGAACTTCCACCCTCAACTGTCTTTCCCTTAATGAGAGAAATTGTTCCCCAACAAGAGAATGCAGGCTCCCTGCATATGTTAAAGCAGATCTTCTGCTCTAACTGTATCCTATGAAACTAGAAGAGATCAATTAATGAGTTTTCAAAGAAAAACAAGTTTGCTGAGTGGGGCTTAGTCAGTATTTTCCCCCAACTGCAGTTGGGAAGTGGCTGAGGTAGGAGAAAAAGAAGAGGCAGGGAGGGGTCTGGATTCCCTCCTCTGCTGGGAAACCCATACTCAGAAAACATGTGGTAAAGCCCTACATTTTGGGGAGTATAGTCTTTTCTGTGCCTTGAGGCAGGCAGAGGTCTCAAGGATGAATAATAAGTAAATATGCAATTCAGATTATTATTGTTATCAGTAGAGGTATAGAAACATCTAACTAAATTAGACCACGTTATCCCAAATGGCAGTATTTTACACATTGAGACCCACAGCCTTCTCATGATGATGGCGTCCAAAGCAGTAAAGTTGCAGTCCTCAACACAACACGTGTACAGTTCAGATCACCCTTCCCCTCCCTCCCTTCCAATTTGTATCTGCCAGCCTTGGCCAAAACAGAAACAATGCAGAAGGCACGTAGGGAAGAAAACGACAGTGATACAACTGTTCTTGTTTGTTGGATGGTAGATTTTTTAACAAGAAAGCGATTGTACATACCCAATAGGGCCTGTTCTGCCAGCCAGTAAAAGGACATTGAGCTTTCATGGTTTCTCTTCACCAAAGAAATAAGATTCGAAATGAGGTAGTAGAGCAGTAAAGTACTCCATGTACAGACAGACATCAAGTGAGCTTTTGTCATCAGCTCCCCTTGAGTCTGAAGCCTCTTCAGAGTGGATTAGCACCATGTTAAAATTGTTCAACCATGGAGAACAGGGGAGAAATGCTGGAAATTCTTTGCCTACTTCAAACGGTATGAAACAAGAAATTGGAAAATAGAGAATGGACTAAAGGAAAAAGCTTCAGAAATTCTACAGGTCACCAATTTTGAAATCAGGCAGTTACAGATAATGGAAGTCAACTTTAGAAGAAGAGCAAGTCTCTAGACAAATGACACTGGAATACAATCATAATTTAAAATACACATCTTCTGCCGTTTGAGTATCATACGAGAAAAGGGTTTCTGAAAAAGAGAAGCCAAAGAGATTTAGAATAAAATAACCTCACTCTGAGTTGAGGAATGAGCTTTCATTATTCAGTACAAATTTGAAAAGACAAAGAAACTTATCAGACTAAATTAAATGAGGAGCTCACAGCATTGTAGATGACTCATCACAGTTCAAGAAATTTATAACAGTGTAGAGGAAAACAGAGAGAGCAGATGGTGCAAAGAATCCTCACTACAAAACAGAGATCAGCGCTGAGCTCAAGAGCCAGAAACTATCCTTCAGCTTAGTACCAATGGCAAGAAAATGCTGCCATTAAAGTGATTAAAAGCCATGCTGTGCTTCTAAGCATATTTTTTTTTCAAATGGTTTCATTGGGTAACCAAATTAGAGCTCTCCTGCAGCTACTGGATTTGAAGCAATTAATTAAAAGAACTTCCCATTGATTCATCAAAGGAACATTAGAGCAGTCTTTATAAATGGGCAAATAGGATTTACCTGTTTTACAATTTTCCAGTTAAAAAGAGAGTTAATAGTAAATGGATAGGATCTTTAGGGTCTCAGTAACTTCTGCTCCAGTGAGCAACTGTTATAAGAAGCTGAAATTTCTCTGTAGAAAGTATTGCTTTTAGTAGCCCTTCACAACAACTAAAGATACAGAAACTGAGCAAGCTGTGGCTTTTAATTACTTGATTTGATTTGTTTGTTTCTTTGTACAATAAATTTCTGACTGGAATACTTTTCCTAAAAGTCATTATTTCCTCTGAGATGTGAATAGATAACTTCTGTATGACAAATGTAGGATCATCTGGTCTAGTGGAAGGTGTCCCTGCCAATGGCAGGGGGGTTGGAACATGATCTTTAAGGTCTCTTCCAACTGAAAGCATTCTATGATTCTATGATCTTTCTGAACAGATAAGAAATGGTTAATGGTGGCTTTTCTGTGGCTTTTTGTTAAAAAGCACACTTTTTTTTTTGTGCCCAGCACCCTAATACAACCACAAATATGCTTCTCATACTCACAGTCTTATGTACACACCTTCCCATTTTGATTTAGGGGATGCAGTGTTAGCACAATGCTACAGGTGTGAGGTGAGCCTTGCTGTATGGGGCTTACAGTTTCAAGTGCAGGACAAGCACAGCTGGTTTAGGAGAGGGTTGAAGTAATTTTCTTTCATAAGTTTGCTACTGAGTTGTCTCCCAGGAAGAAGATGTGGGCTATTTCTTATACTGAACTTTTGAGGGGATCTTCTGTTGTGCTAGGACTGTGTTTTGACATGGGCTTACACAAGTGGAAGAGTCAGAGTGGTGAGCTCAGCTGAAAACACAAATTGCTGTAAAATTTGGAAATCAGAACCCAAAACAAAATGCACCACATGCGGTACATATGAAAAGCCTTTAAATGTTAGGTCATAATTTGAAGAACTGTAATATCAGTAAGCTGTATTTTAAAAGCCTGGGAAGCCCAAGAATATAATTATATCCAAAGTTTAACCTGGTGTTTTCTTTAATCAAGCTTGATTGTTTTGCAAGGATTTGGTTGTCTGACCAATGAACCCCCAAATGGAGTGAGAAGAAGCCATGATGTGCTAGGGAAGGTGGCCCAGCTGATGTCCTTTACCTGTGAGCCGGCACACAGGGTGTATAAGGTGTATCTGAAAGGTTGTTATGGCTGCCTCAAAGGCTCCTGCAGATCACATCTCAATACCAGTGAGTGACTCAAACCAGCAAACAGTAAACAAATGTATATGAGCAATTGCCCTCATAGGCCCTCAATGAGTGTTCAGCAAATACAAATCCATGTTTGCTAGCTCCTGTTTTCCTTTAAACAGACCTATCTTTGTTGTCTGCTTGGAATAGCTGATTTTACCCTAGAGAAATATTATGAGAGTTCAGCTTCACCTGAAATTTCAAGAGTAAAACTTTCATTTTAACTGAGGGAGTAGTTAAACGCACTCAGGGATGACATTTTGGCCCAGAACCTACGAATGCTTTTTATTTATTTATTTGTATTTGTTCTATTCTGTTATTTACATTATGCTGTTTAAGGACTCCCTGAAAAATAGGTTAATCCTTTATTCAGTGTGGCAGGAATTCTTTTTTCCTCTCATTCCCTTGCATTAGAGCTGTGGTTAAAATGGCATAACCTACAGGTGTAGGACAGTTTTTTGTGCAAGCTCTGTTTTATCTACTTAATACTTTTGGTAGTTTTTTGTCATTCAGAGTTACATGTTGGGTTGGGTTTTTTTTCACTTCAGAGAGGACTGGTCTATTATACCACAGAATAGTTATCCACAGGGAGGATTGAGAGTGGATTGAAGTTTATTTTCTGTCTTGGATAAATGCCCTGTCACAGAGAAAGAGATTGTTATGTGCATGTCTGTGTGTAGAGTTTCCCTTTTTTCAAAGGAAAACAACTGGTTTTGTTTTCTTCACCATTTGTTTGAATTCTATAATTTATTTATTGTTTTCATTTCTTAAACTTCCTGAAATATTTACAGGAAAGAAAACTAAGGCGTGAAATTTTGTGACTAGAAACAGATACTTATTTCATTTTCCTAGGGACACTCTTTCATTCAAAAGATAAAAACAGAAGTCATAAAAATGTGTTATTTTTAAGAGACAGCTCCTTAGAAGCTTAGAAGAGATTAAGATTCATAATAGAGAATGGGGGAGAGTGTGTAATAAACTGATATTTTTTATTGGAATGACAGATAGTGAAGGTTGTGAACCACTGGAAGAATTTTTTTTTTATGGTAGCTGGTTTGTTCAGCTTACTCAGTTGTCTTCAGGATGTGACTGGTTTTATTGTAACATTTGGGACAGCTGTGCATCAATACTATTAAAAAAGCATTGGCGTCTGTAGAATGTTAGACCTCCTTTGACATGCTTGACCGCATTAATAAAACAAGCAAAGATCCTCTTCTAAAATGCAAGTTTTGCACCATTTGAAATTATTGCATAGATAACTGCATCTTCTTTTCCAAAAGGGCTGAAAACGTGTTTCTTAAAATCAGCTAACCCATAGTAAGATAATTTGGCTCCTGGGTGCACCCACCCACCGTGGGCCCCTTCCAAAAGCTCCTGAAAGTGGTTCTTGCTCACTGCACTGCTGCAGACCCGCAGTATCAATTACAGCAGGTAGATTTGGCCCTACAATTTGCCCATAACCCAGGCCCTGCCACTGGCTGCCTCTAATGAGCTGGATCTTCTGTGCACACAGGTACCTCATTGACAGGCTAAAATGCCCTTGCTGTGGCCATCCCAGCTAGCAGGAACAGGATTCAATGCACCTGTCTTGAGCTGTGTCACTTTACGTTACTCCAAAGAGTAAACTGAATGTCCATTTTACACATTTTAATTATGACATTTAATGCAGATTGTCCTGAATGTAGAATTTACTGTCTCTGAAACATGGTTCTGCTCTGGACACAATGTCCTTGGAGCCAGCAGCACAACCTGGTTTTGTGCAGCCAGTGGTGGCGACCAGCACAGGCACTTCTTTCTATGTTTTTGTATAAAGCCTTTTTTTTTAGAACCTGGTCTGCACTTTAACAAAGGAGATGGTGGTATGTACTTGAGACATTAATTCCAGGTTATATCGTTTCCCTGAGAATTGCCATCTGTCATGCTTTTCTGCCTGGAGGTCACTCAAAGTTACCTTGGGTTGGTATCCTAAGACAGTAGGTTGAAAGGATAAACCGTGTGCTTCGTTTTTAACCCTTAGTTATCCTTTTCCCTTTCAGCACCCTCCTTGATAGGTATGGTAAGGAAGGACTGGGCTTCCCAAAACAGCATTGCCCTCTCCTGGCAAGAGCCGGACTTTCCCCATGGAGCCATTCTGGACTACGAGATCAAGTACTATGAGAAAGTAGGTCTCACTTACAGCATCACCCAAACTCAGATCCTAAAGAGCAATATGTTTTGTATTTTTAATATTAAAAAAAATACTTTTAACCTTTCACTTGATCCCATATACAATACTATATAAGTAGATGTTTTATTTTGTACTGATTTTTCGTTGTTTTACTTCTGACTTGTTAATGACTGTCTTGTTTCCCATCAAAATCAAGTACAGCATCATGCAGGCAGTAGATATACCTGTCTCATAATAACTACATTTACGAACATGGATAAATGGATCATATGCTTGAACGTATTTTGATTTATGGACTGTAAAACTCTACATTAGAGTGACACTGAAACAATAGAGTTAAGGTGAATATCAATGTGGTTTAATTCTGCAACATTATTTAGCAATAATCTATGCTTAAATGAGAGTGCATCAGCCTTGCTTAGGGGGTTACAAAAGATTACGAGGGAGAAAATGCATGGCATTCCTGTTGAATTTCTAGCATTCTGTCAAAATTACGTGATTTCACACATAAGTGAGCAGCAACATGCACTACAAGTAAATGTACAAGGTGCGTGCATAGCACACCTTGTGAAAGCATAATTTGAAGACTGCTTCTCCCAAATCACAAAATGCATTATGTCATTTCCAGCTGGCTACAGGGCCTTGCACTTGCAGTGTAAAACCTAGTGCAAATCAGTGCCTTCATTCCTAGAGACATAGGCAGGTTTTTCTTGGTGTTTGTATCTTAAATAGTCACCTGCTACGTCAGTTCTCTCTATTTCTCTGTCCCCATCTGAAAGTCACAATGGAACTAATGTGAAAAGACCAAAAAGAACAGAAATACAAGCCAAGTCATGGAAGAAAGATTTAGGGATGTTAGGCTCTGTAAATTTTCTTCTGTGGCTGCACTTCTCTATTGAGATTGTGCACCTGTAACGATGCAGAAAAAAAGGGTAAACTGGGAAAAAATCCAAACAATTTAAACAGCACAGCTAGAGGGAGAAGACAGATATTTGGTAGCCAAAGCAAGAAAACCTTACTTTCCTACACTAATGGAAGTCATTCAGGTTTTGATCCATTACCATAGTAAGCCACATTATGACTTTCAAATATTCAAAACCATCCATATAGATGTTAAGTTATGGATGTTAAAACATATAAAAAAATTTTATCAATAGATTATCTGCCAGCATCAGTCAATGCTGAGTGCAGTGGCAAATAGCTCTCCTTAGAGGTCTACATATTGCTTAGACTTGTTCGTTGCACAGCAAGACCAGGTACACAGGCTTCAAAGCCCTTTGTTGTATAGAGTTTAAAGCACTATCAACTTCTACCAAAAAGAACCATTTTCTGTTTTCACCTTTTATAACACATAAGGATCTTGAGAAAATAACAAAACTTTTTGAGAGTCAATTCTATATGAATTGTATTGATTTTTTCTTTCTTATTTAGGAATATATTGGTACATATTTATGTGGCTGGCTGACAAGAGGAAACTTTGTTCTGCAGCTTTTCAGCCAAAAATACAGTGAACATAAGCTGACTTAGGACATGATTAGAGAGCTGACTTGACCTGTGAGGAGAACAAAAATTCATAGGCTTTCTGTCCAAGATGCTATGAGGTTTTCTCACAGTAAAGGGAAAAAGTTTTCTATTGCTTGAATAGTTATGTGATATAACCAGAGAGAGAATATCATGATCCTGAAATAATACTGTATGTTGGGGCCTGGTAGATGCAATATCTTATTTCTGCTAGATTGATCATTCTGAAAACTGCACAGTTAGCAACATTTGTCACCCTAGACGATAAGTGAGTCTTTACAGCAACACACAAAAAATCCATTAAATGTTTGACCTCAGAGATCTAAGATGCATTCTGAAAAGCATTTCTTCATAGACCTTCTTTGTAGTCTTCATAGATACTAAATATTTGCAAATTATCTCTGTTGATACAGGATGTCTGCCGCATTCTGCAGTCTGTTATCTATCCATTCTATTTTATAATCCTTTATTATCTCCCACAAACAGCCCAGTACTTTAAAAAAAAAAAAGTCTCTCATAGACAGTATTGTCTTTCCCTTTAAAAATAAGACTCCGGATATCAATATAATCTCAGTTTCTTTAGTAATAATATTTATCTTATACTTTAAAACTATTGCTCAGACACTGACCAAAGCTTTTACTTTTTGAAAGATTCCAGGGCATCATAGTCATACCTCTCACCAGAGGTCACATGTTCTAGTCAGATGGAGAGGAGTGCGATAAGATATGGCCTTGTTACAGCCTTCTAATGAAGCTGAGTCCTTCTGTAGGAAGTCCCTCGTAGGAAAGGAAACACAGTACACAGTGGATATAAACCATACCAGCTGCACTTCAGGTTGTGCAGTTGAACTGGAAAATGCTTATTCCTCCTCTTTTCCACCCAAACCCTTAAAGTTAATCATCAAAAAATTAATGTTCCCTGAGAGCTGTATTAAGCATACAAAGCTTTATACATATCAGCAACTGTATTAAGTTCTCCCACATGGCCCAAATACTCCAGCTGGATTATATTTTCTGTTACACACAAGATAATACATAATTAGCTGAGAAAGCCAGTCTATAGAGAAGAGATTTTAATAGGATGTACCCGAGCAATATCCCAAGGCATTGCAACGACATCTCTAAAAAGAGAATACCTTGTGGAGCAGGATGGAGGGGCTGGCTGATGTTTCTTCGCTTTCTTTTGATGAAATTTACACTAAAGCCAAATCCCTTTGACAGAATGCTTCACTTTGTTGGCATACTGAATTTACAACTCACAGGCAGTTTTCACATAAAAATTTTAACCCTCCTCCATATGACAGTGAGTGGACAGGATATGTAGGATGTCAGATATGACTTTTCCTCCATTCCTGTATTATTTAGAGTTGAATTAATAAATAAAAAAGAGAAAATAACCAAGCCGTAGAGGCAAGGGAGAAATTAGTTTTCCAATGAGATTTTAAAAAGAGATGAAGATCCGATGAAACAGAGAGGTAAGGGAAGGTGCCAGATTTAAAGAATTAGAAAGCAGTATGACCTTGTTAATTTTTCTATCAGTCTTTAGCTACATTTACTTAACATATACAGGAAACGATGCTCCTTCTTAAAATCTAATATTAAAACAAACACCACTATTTCTTTGAATATTCATTAATGTGAATTAAAATGAGGCATCCTGAATTTGAGTAGTAAAGTACATAAGAGACCTTGAGGTAAATGACTTGATAGGAATAATGTGAAGATTTAAGACAATCAGTGAGAAATATTTTGAATGACAGAATTATTTTTACAAAAATTAATGTGGAAAATTGTAAGCAAGAAAGTAATTTTGTCTTTCAGAGTGGTTTGCCTACAGTAGTATTCCTTATTTTAATGCAAACCTATCTATCTGTGTAGACATATGTGCACCATATTATTATTACAAATCTATAGAAGAGTATATGTACAATAGATTATGTGTTCTGAAGTTTGATGGCAAAAAGATGTGGCACTCGGTGCATGTACAGAGGTATGAATTGATACCCTTGCCATTTTTTTCCATGCTTTTTGAGGAACAGTTAATATTGTGATATGCTCAGTACCACACTGAAGACTAGCACAGTAATAGCACAGTCCTGGAAGCCCTGGGAATGCATCAACCTCACTTTCATGCATGTGCCCGAGTTGTTTCAATCCAGCTTTTTTTCCCATGTGAACTGCCAGTGTAAGGTGTGTGACTTATCCTGGTTTAGGATAACAGATGTTCCTCTGTGTCTTCTCCCCTTACAGAGATATTTCATTATGATCTTCTCATAGTAGTTCAGTTCTGCTCAGGCAGTATCTGACCCTACTTGGGTATTGGCTGGAATCTAACCTAAAAGAACAAAAGCCTTACATGTTCTCATTAGACGAGATACGGACATTTCTTATAAGAAGCCACATCATGTAGATCAGACAATCCTCTGAATTTCTGGGTGACACTTTGGAAAGGTGGAGCAAAATTAGTGATTTTTTTTCTATAGCCCTGTGCCTTTCTGTGAGGTCTGCACGCCATGTGTGAGCTTCATTCACCCTCAACTTCCCTTCTACGTGGCTTCCAGTCTTTCCACCTCTATTTTTTGCATAATGTTTAACTGAGTTAGAAGGATCACTTTATGTTACAACTTCCCCATTTCCCATAAGTACCAGTACTTTCTTGGTTCATATTTTGCCTTTATCTTAAATTTTTAAACAATGAATAATAATAATATATGTACCAGCTCCAATCCACAGGAGAATGAAAAGAGCCTGCAGACTGTGTCATGTTATTCATGAGCAGGCATAATCCACTGGATACTGTTATGGCTGAATTGGTAGCATGTGCTGTTTTTTTCGCCAGCCATATTCTTTTTTTTTTTTCGCTATACCTACCATAGCATGCTTGATACCCTTGAAAGCTTCCTGACTAAATTTTAAAGTCAACATTGCTGAGAAGGGGAATAGGGAAGGGCTTATAAGAATAGAGATGAGCATATGAGCATTTCAGGTGCCTGGCCAGTCAGTGTGTATACTCAGCATAAATTAGCAAGCACTATACTGTTAGCATTGGATGATCAGCTGGGCAATTTTAGCCAAATGCTAATCATACTCTTTTAAAACAAACACTTTGCTCCTGTAATGCTTTTTTAAAATTATTTGAGGCATAAGTAGAAATAGGCTGCCCACAACTAAAATGTTTCTGATATGACTAGAAGCAAGAAATGTAGGGCTCATGCCATAATACATTTTCATCACATTGTCAGCACGTACTCATAAAAACCAGAGCACTGAGTAATTTGGATGTATAAGAGTTTTTGGATAGTAGTATTAAACAGACCTTAATTTGACCATAGCTGCAGGAACAGATCAGCATGTTGTGGCGAGGTGTCAGGGCTCCAAGGGAGAGCCTCTGGCATCCTCAGCTGTTCAGAGCTCCTGGGAAATGAACCATGTCTGGTGAATGTTTTTAAAAAATAATCACTACAAATGTGCTT